AGCAACCAAATCTGCATGATCTTTACTTAATCTACTCAACTGATTTTCCAAACTTTCGTTTTTATCCTCAACTTGCTTTAGTAGTTGTGCAGACTTCTGTTCCTTATCATCCTCAGCTTTTAATTCGTTCATTTCAAAAACTAAATTTGTTTTCTCCAATTCATAATTTTCTACTTCCAATTCTAAATCCTTGATTTGCAGCTTAAGTTCATCCTCTATTTTTTCCATTGTTTTTATTTGTTCAGCAAATTCTAGTTTCTCATGCTCTAATTCACTGATTTTATCACGCAAGTCAACATACTCCTTCTCTAAGGTAGTATTAAGTTTAATAGACTCCTCGAGTTGTGATTCCAATTGCACAATATTTTCTTCGTTATTTTCCGATATAGTCTCTAGCTTGTTTCGTTTATAATTTTCTAATTCGTTTAGTAGTATTTCATTGTTTTTCATTAACTCATCACACTGTAAAATGTATTGAGAAATATCTGCCTCTAAAGTTTTCTTTTCATGATCCCAAACTAACTTTGCATCTTGTAGATCAATCATATCTTCAGACATTTGTGCTAGACTCTTTTCTAAAGCATCAATTTTCCAAAGCTTCTCTCGTAACGATTTGAAAGCTCTATCTACAGAATCCTCAGAGCTCAAAGCTGTCTCTTGCTTTACATACACTTCAAGTACATCACGGAATTTCTCTAATTTAAACGGCTCTTCCTCATCTGCATCCAGATCTGTAATTTCTTGCTTTTCTTCTGCGATCGCTTGACGGAATTTATCTTGTGCTATACTTTCCAATTCTGTGCGCAAACTTTCATTTTCCGTCGTTAAACACCTAAGTCTGTCTTCAAGTTCCGCACTATTATTCAATGTTTCTGTTTCCGCTTCCGCATTTAATTTAAATTTCTGATTTTCAAGCGTCAATTGTTGGATTTTACACTCCAATTCTGTAACACGTTTTTGTGCTGTACGTAGAGATTGCAATTCTACCTGCAATGCTTCCTTTTCTTCTTCGGAAAAAATCAAACGTTGCTTTAATTCAAGCAATGAACTTATACTCTCCTTACTTTCTTTCAATTCCGTTGAAAGAAGTGTTTTTTCTTCTGTTAAAATTTTAAGTTGTTCTTGTGCAATAACAGCCTCTGCTGCTCGCTCTTTAAGATCATCAATTTTCTCCTGTGCCTCTAATTGTTCTGCTAGTAGCATTTTTATATTTTCTGCTTGTGCTTCGCATTTCTCCTCTAAACTTTGTAGGCTTTGTAAATTGTTTGGCATTTCCTGATCTCTTAATTTCAATGCTAAGCTACCATTTTCCAACGTTAGTTCTGATACGCGATTTTCCAATTGCACAATTTTGTCCTTCAATTCCTCTTTTGTTGGGGGTGTTGTAGGACCAGAGGAATTTGTATCACTTTTACCAACTAGTATAAACTCATCTTCGCTTTGCTTACCCATCGAGCTAGAGGATGATTCGGAGGTTTTCTTTTCTTTTATTGTTTTCAACTCTTCTATTTCTTTCAATACCTGTTCAAGTCGTTGCAATAATTCTGTGCGTTCATCTTCAGATTTTTCTGTTTCTTTATTGGCAATTTTAACTTTTTCTATTAATTCAATATTATCCTGACCTTTCTTTTCTAATAAAGTTTGTAAATCTAACATATCTTCTTCATTTATCTTTAACATTTGCACCATATCCTCATTTTTTCTTTGTATATCGGTTCTTTCAAATGTTAATGTTTTATTATCGCCTTGAAGTTTCTCAATTTCTTTCCTCAATTTTCCTAACTCAAGCTCACTACATATAAACTTATCGGCTTGCTCTTCCTTAAGGATGTTATAATTCGTAGTTACAACGTTTAGCTTTTCTTGCAATTCATTTTTTAACTCAAGTACATTTTGCATAGCTAGGTTATGTTGTTCATCTAGTTCCTCTAATGCAGTGTTCAAATCTTTATTTTCTGCTTCCGATTTCTCCAAACGCAACTGTAATGCATGCGCTGTTTGTGCGGCATTACCCATTGACACATCTTCCAATGTAACATTAACCAAATCGTTGCCATTGCCGCTTGAGGTTTCCGAACTGTGACGAGTGTCGAGCTTGATATTGTCTGGTTCCCAGCACCAACTGTCTTCAAGCTGTGCATTTTCATCCTGCAAATAATAAAATTAAATTTTTTAATGTTTAGGAAATTATAACTTTAATTGAATATATGCATAGTAGTTCTTATAGTAATGGTTCGTATTCTACTATAATTTTAATGATTTTAAAGAATAGTGTTTTGCTTTTAAACTCCCATTATATTAATTTTAAATATATATAATAAGTACATAATACATATTATATATAATATAATAATCATAACGTGGGTTTTAAAATAAAAAAAATATTTTTTGAAACAAGTATTTATAGTTAATTAGGTCATCTATTAGTAATCAATACTTTGCAAGGTTATTGCTCAAGATTGTGAATACCCCTTTAAGTTTTTATACAAAATTTTCTCCAATTATTGTATTTAAAATACAATTTTATGATAAATATTTTTAATTATTTATTACACAAAGAATATATGTATGTTATATATAAAAATAATAATATATATAATAATAATAATATATATAATAATAATAATATATATAATAATAATAGTAATATATATTATAATAATAATATATATAACATATAATAAATTAGTAGCAGAAGGTATTAGAACTGGGAGAATGTTTACAGTGAGATTCAAAAGAAATACTATAGGCATGTATCTTTTATTAAATTATAATTTTTATTTACTAAATAATTTCAAATCGTAGTAATCTAGAATTGCCCTCTCTTTTCCAATAGTTTGATATAATGAGAGAAATCTTTCAAAAGGTACTAAAACTAGGAAGTTAAATAAGTAGTGTCTTGAAGTATTTCTATATTAAAAAAAATAGTGTCAGCGTAATTTAAAAGATATATGCATGGTTTTTATAAAGAATATATCTTTGTAAAGAATTATTTTTTCGGCTGCATAAAAAAAACTAACTCATTTGATTTTAAATATCTAAAAATCTAAACTAAAATCGTGTAAGATATAATATCTTTTTATTTTATTTTCAATATATTGATTTGTATTGTTTGATAGTGTCTTTCAACACTTTTTTCCTTTTTTTTTTTTGGGGCTCATCTTAGGTCTCACTGATTTCAATATCCAAGAAAAACAAAGGAAAGGAAAATGCCTATAAAAATCAGGAATATCTAATATTATGCAGTCTTCTCTTTTAAATTAAATAAATATGACATTCTATTTTTTCTTTATATATGATATATCTTTTGTCTGGAGCACAACTTCGCATATTCATTTAAAATTAATTAAAAGCATTTTTAAGGCATTGCAAAATATTTTTTCACACCTTTTTGAAATATAATTTAAAATAGTTTCGTTATCAGCTCAGCTAAAATTTTTGCAACGTGATCTCGCATATAAAAATTTTTATAATCATTATATTTTGAAGATAAAATTTAAATAAAAAACCTTGATCAGCGAAAAAACGTTTTTCTGTGTAAATTATATAAAAACCGAGACTAATAAACTATCAATTTGAGATATTGTAGAGAAACAACAACGGGCAAATACATAAAAATATTCTGAAAAGAAATAGAAAGAATGAGAAAACCTCAGCAATTGCAAGTTGTGTTTATAAGTAAAAATATTGCAAAAAATTTTCAATATACAAAAGTGTACGTTGGAGTAAAAAAATAAATTGAGATATGCAGGGGTTTAATGGTAGCAGTCAGTGATCGAGCCAGAGCGCTGAGCCAGAGATAGATCCTACAGCGAAGTGGATTTGCGTAAGTCCACAGACTTTTTGGAGCGCGTGCGTGTGTGCACTTGTTTATTTGTTTGGCTTATGTACCTCAAAGTGCTTAGTCATTATGTTGTTTCCAATCCATTCAAGCGGTCACAAATATGAAAAATGAAGCAGCATTCACTGTAACTCACTTACAAAAATAAAGACAACATCGGATGGAAAACAAAAATAAAAAAATTGGTCCGTCATACGCCATTGTGCAGAATAATTTCTCTCTCATAGCCATAACCATACAACCACACAATAGCAACACGGTCACAAACTGGCGGACAAGCATGCACACAAACACGTTGGATGGTTGCCTTTATGGAGGTAAGGAATTAGTTCAAGTACTTTAACGTGCCTAAACTTGGCTTGACAGTTTAGTATTTATTATTTTTATTGTTTTCTTTTTTTCCGTACATATGAATGGCAAATTTGTGGTTAAAAGTAAAACGCTAAGTGGGCATGTTCAGAGACATATGGGCTTTGAGAGGTAGATGCATATGCGAAGTACTTGATATGCACGAAACTGGGCAGGCAAAACAGCTAATTATGCGCGGTATTAAACTGTGCGTTTAAGTTTTGCACATACTGAATACAAAAGCAGGTCAACTTTAATTGTACGTTTTACTCATAAAGACAAAATCACAAACTGTGGAAGGTCATAAACGCCACTTAATGAGCGCTCAACAAACAATCATAAAAAAAAATAGAAGCACAAGTTTGATGGCATTTTCTCAAGAATCAAACTTACTCGAAGATATATACATTGTCTTAGTTTTACTTTTAACTTAGTACATAAGAACTTTATAACCTTACACGTAAATAATGGTAGCACTACTGCATTACTCTTATAAACGATGACAAAACATTTGGAAATAACAGATAATGTTTTTTTGGAAAGTAATTGTAATTAATTTGATATTGCGTAAAATTTTCTCAAACATATAAAAAAAATAACAATTAAAGTTTTCTACATATTCCGCTTATTTTCTTAGTGTAGCAAAAACGATTCGACAAACCTAATCACCGGTACATCGCGCAAACGATTCGATAGAACATTGTTAATGCGATTCGATAGCATATCGTTACGATTCACTCATCGACAAAACGATTTGATCGCAACTCGCGAAAACAATTCACTCACAGATCGTTAAAATGGATCGCCGGCAAATCTCCAAAACGATTTGTCGGTAAATTGGGAATTTTAAATAGGAACAAAGTTGTCGTCGGTTATCACACGAAGCCCGCTTTGAAATATAAGCTCGCCATGCCGAATTCTTCTGATGCTCTAGATTAATAGCAGCTCAGCACAAGAAAGTTGACTAAACCCTTTATTTACTCACAAAGACCACACATTTCCTTCTCAGGCCTATCTATCTTATAATAACGCTGGCCATACTGACGGATTAGATAATTTGCCAACAGCTTCAGCTATATTCAGATTTGGAGGTGCATAAGTAAAACTAACCGTATGGTTATTCAACGTTTCCAAAATAAGGTATTGAGGTGTTACCATTACCATTATTATTACAATGTTTGTAGTACAATACAATACAATACAATAATTTCCTAATTCATTATAAATAAGTATTAGATATGAAATCAATTAATAAGAAATGCACCATTTTTGATATGTTAAGGGTTTTAGGACTGAAGGTTGTTTTTGAATAAATTTTTGTTTGACAGTCTCTATCTCGATAAACATTGAAAAGAGACGAAATGGGGATCTACCATGTTTTCTTTTCTTGGCCCAAGGAATTATAAACTACATTTTTAGCACCCTGTATTATCAAAAAATCAATTTAGAAGTTTCAATACGTTTGTAGTCTTTATCAAAACAAAAATAAACAAACAAAATAAATATAAATCAAAATTATCACACTTGCTTACGTATTTTAAAGACTAAATGAATACCCTTATATAATTCCCTATTCTTTTATTTACTATATTTATATATACTATACATTTTATTCTACTGACACGACAGTAGCAGAAAAAAAATGTACATAAAATATTGAGTTGCCATGTAATAAACTCGATAAATTATAGCATATGCCGATGTAAATATTTGCTATAATGACAAAATTCAAAGCGCGACTAATAAAAAGTACATTTTTATCTATGATTTTATATACTACAATACAAAAACGAACAACTAACAATACACAACAAAAAAGTTAATTAAAATTGGTATGTAATAACGTGGCAGATAATGCAAAAAATCCCCAGCCTATACGGCTTATGTGGCTAAAAATGCAATTCATTCCATACTCTCTCTTACCCTCACAGTGCATTTTATATTTAACTGCATTTGTATTATTTTATATATATATATATATATATAAGTTCATAAAAGAAAGTATAGTGTTTTTACTATACAGTTTAGAAGCAAAATTATTTTTTATTTCTTAACAAAAAAACATATATATAATCCAGTAAATGTATAATTAAGAACACTTAACTTCTTATTAAAGTATGATATGATTACTCCGCTTTTTATCAATAAAATAATTTATACAAGATTCAAATCATTCGAATCATAAAACGATTATTTTATAAAGTCCAAGACGTTACCTTTATTTCAATGACATAGAAATAATAATATAAAAAATCTGAACGATATCAAAACAGTACTCTCAATACCAGATACGAAAGCTGATTCAGCATTCGGTATGGAACAAACGGTTTAATTTTTGCAAACTATCAACCGATGTTACATCGTTTTTAAGACCTTGTATTTCATGCATTATAACTATGTCTCAACGAAAGAACGATGATTCCTAATATACCAGAGACTATTCTATTTAAGAGTTTAACAAATTGAGACCTTAAGCGTTAGATAGATAACATCGAAGATTCTGTTTAAAACCTTATGTTTAAAAATATTGCTATTAATGTTTATTTCAAATTAGTAAGAAAAAAAACTTTCAATAAGGAGATCTCTAGATCTTTCTGTGGGTCTAATGTTTTAACGTAGTTTTCCCATTTTTTTATACGTTTGAAATAGGCAACAACATGACTGACATTACTATATGTTTATAAATGGACAGCATATTTTTGATTCTAAGCTTTTGAGAGTATTTATAAGTGAGTAAAGGTGCTGAAGTATTTATATAGCCTGAATTCCATTATATGTACTATATATTCAGTAAGTAAAGTTATTAAATACAAATTTGTATACAAATTTAATTATTTATTTTATTAATATAAAAAATATATAATGAATATAACGAATTGACACTATTTCACTGGTTAACGTGTGTCAGTAAAATAAATAAAAATGTGTGTTTGGCTGCCTATTTAATTGTATGGTAGAGACTATTACTAATATTTTAGGAATTTCTAAAGTAATAATTGTGAGGTGATGATGACTAAAATTATTTATATTTAAAAAAAAAAATATTCTTTTAATATACAGAAAATAAAAATGGTTGAATTAAATATTGTTGTACTTTTAATCGAAGAAAAATTTAATTAATTTTTATTGCTTGTTTTTTTATTTTTATATAAATAATTTTGTAAAATAAATTTGTTAGTAAAAACGTTTAACTTTTGTTAAGTATATTCTAATATAAAAATATATTTTATAAAACTTAAAATAATTGTATCTTTATTTTGATTTTTCATACATTTTGAACCTAATATACACGTTTGTATTGAGTTGAGGTCTGGCATTTTTACGGAGGATAGACAAGACAACATAAAGCAACAATGCAAATTCAAAACCGATTGAAGTATAAAAAAATGACAAATTTACAACAACAATGATGTTGTCATATATTATTATTATTATTGAAATGTTCAAAAATATAAATTCAAGCACTAAGTCTAATCGCAAAAGATTTTCAATTATTTCTACCACGCGCTATATACATTATATATAGTCATATATATAATATAATGTCGTATATATTGTTATTATTATTATTATTGAAATGTTGAAAAATATAAATTCAAGAACTGAGTCTAATCACAAAATATTGGTAGTTCACTGAAAGATTTGTTCGACTCTCTATTGATCTATGGATTGTCCTACTCCTTGTAGCCTTTGGTCGACCGCGATTTTTTCTTCCTTACGGATTCCATTCTAGAGTGACATGTGCGATTTCACTGAAGGATTTGAGTAGAGTATGGTCCAACCAATTTGTTTATCCATTGTCCGTTATTCTGTGTTATCATTTATACTTTAGATATTAATTTGTATATATCAATGTATGTAAATGGAAAGTGTGATATAGTCAACAATGCGCTTTAACTGAATTATTGAAAATTAAATTTTTACACTAATTATAAAACTCTATCAAAACTATCTATGCAAAAGGTGTATATATTAGCTTCTCATATAATGAGATAGTTTTATGTCCGCTTCAAATTTTTTTAGTTAATGACTTATTCATAAGCTTTTCTTAATATGAATATATATTTAAGAACAAATAATCGTTTCCGCATAGTAGTAGTAATAATTATCATCAAAAGCGTTATGTAGTCAAAGCTCCCAAAAAATTATTTATTTAAATTTTACGCATTTTACCCACTAACAAGTACAAAATAAACAGCGGAAGATAAAATGTAGTATTGTTATCTAAGGAAAATTTCCACCTTCTTCAGTCGCAGAATATTAAACATTCATCATTACAATAAAAATAAAATTAGCTTTAATTTAAAAAAAAACCCTGCCCATAGAACAACCACATAAAACTACATAAAGCTAATTCTTCATTATGAATAATACAATATATACAATATACAACATTTCGTATTTGCTTTGAGTTTTATTAACCTGATAAATGTGACATATAAATGGAGAGCAAATTTTTTACACTTGTACAAATTTTGTGGAATTGGGTGAAGTTGAGCTCATTTTTTTAATAAAGCACTTAATTATTTGCTAATTTACAGTAAAACACTTGCGCCATTTTTCAAATATTGATTATGGCATTTATATATATAGCCAAATATACACTCAATTCATAAGTATTCACTTTTAGCATTTAATCTATACTTGTAGATACATATGTATTTAAGCGGCTACTTCTATATTACTTCCATACTGCAGCCATTTATTTTTGTATTTTGGAATCAAATAACCAAATTATTTATATCTAAATAAACAAAATTATGTGTATATAGCAAGTATATATGCTTCATAACACAATTGATCATATATGAGTCAGTTTCAGTAAATAGAAAAACTATTTGAATAACAGATAAGATAAGAAATGTTGCTATTATGCGAACATAAACCCAATAGCACCGCACAGTAACAAAACTATTAGATATGGGTTTGGCGCGAAAATTTTATTACCTTTCTAGGGGTATACATACCTACATTATTTCTTTATAAAAAGTTTCTTTCATGTAGGGAAATTTGTGTACAGTGTGAAATAAAATAATTTGATAACAAATTGTAAATTTTATTTTATACTATTAATGTGTATTGTACAATATCTATATATATCGTGTGGATTAATATGCTAGTATATTCAAAGAAATTGTAGTATCTTCTCGATGGTTCCACTTTTAAGACTAACGAGATTTGCGACTTTTCAAAGATGAAATACCAGCGGTAGGTATCATCTACTAGCTAAATAATAAAGTAATTTCCACAGATCTCAATGTTGCACTCACAAAAGATGCAGTAAAATATATGAATAATATTAAATTATAATTATTTTAATTATTTAATTACAATTAATTAACTATAGTCAATTATAAGCAATATATTATTATATTAATACATATAGATTATACTAGACTTCGCTTTTTTTAAACTAAGGGCGTAAATTCGTCCAACAGCCTGTATTGCGACCAAAAGAGTCCTATTGTACCAAATTCGCTTT